AATTTAATTTTTTAAAATAAAAATTTGTGTTTAAATTTTATAAATAAAAAAATAATCACAAACGAAATTTTTTTTCAAATGAAATTAAAAACGACATAATTACAAATTAATCCAAACCAATGTGATTAACAGACAGTAGAGTAGTTCTTACCAACGAAAAAACATCATCTACCTTCCTTCGCACTCAGACTCAAGACTCCAATGATCTGAATTTTCTCTCTCTACCTCCTGTTTTTCTTGGGATGGGTTTCTCCATAACAGCTGCTGCTTCTTCTTCTCCATGGCTTCCGAAAACCTGCCCTCCGAGATTCTCCAAGTACCGAAACTGTTTTCCCCCAGCCGCATCACCACCACCGTGTTTCCGTGTGCTGTGTTGCAGCGGATCACATTATGCAGTCACCGACCTCAAATTCGCCTTGCACGATGCTCTCGATTCCACTGGAATCAATACTTCTCACGCCAGAGTACTAATTCACTCCTTTCTCTTTTTCCTTGAATCTAGTTCAAGATGTTTTTGTTCATCAGTTGCATCATTCTCTGCTCCATTCAATATTTTCCATGATACACTTAACTAACCTAATTTACCCACTCAGGAATCAGGATGATTTTTGTAATTCATCCTTACCAGAAACTTCCTATTTTTACTGTATGTGTTTTTTGAATCTGATGATTATCAAGTTTCAAAAATTGTATTGCCTGATATGGTGGAGTGAAGTTAAATTAGAAATCCACTGTCTCATGCCAATTCATAAACTTTTCACTTCAAGGAAGATGCTTGCAAGGTTGATGCTAATTTTTACTCTTTCTGATTTTTTCTTATACTGTTCTATTGATTTTGAGCAGGAGGCTAGACAGGCCTTTATTTCACAAATAGAAAACTTATCTGAAATTGAGAGGGAAACCAGCATTTGTATAAATAGACGTGTTGATTTGGGGAGAACAGCTCTTTACATAGCAGCAGAGGATGATTCTCTCATTTCGCATTCTTCTGTTCCTCTGCCTGTGGATGCCTTTCTTGAAAGATTGGGTGATCTTTCCATTGGCTATTGTTCTCACTATAACTCCTTGTGTAGGGCATCACATGAAAATTTCTTGGACAGCATAGAGAGATATCTATACATCAAAAAGGTATGCTTTTTTGTAACAAATGCTTCAAATGCACAGAGTTAATTTCCTTCTAAGGCTGTTTCAAGTTATTTTGGTTTCTATCTTGTCGGCCTACCTAGGAGTTATCTAAAGAAACTAGGCAAAGCCATTTTGGATGACTGTTTTGTGTGCAAAATGTATTCTACTGAAAAGCTAGTCCTCTTTGGTCTTAAATTTGTACGTGAAATATAGTCCTTTTTTAAAATGAATCCCTTTTTTTTTTGGTAAGGGCTTCCGAAGAAATAGTTCCAAGAATCAATTGGACCGAGCCCTATATCTTCATTCGGTATGGAACAGTACCTTTTATCTTATATTTCTGTCTTCAATTCTTATAGAAATGCTGTCTCATGTGGCTTTGGTTATTAATTATTGATTTTGGGCAGGTCTTGACACACCGTTCTGGCTCTGCTGTTATGCTTTCACTTATATATTCAGAAATACTGAAAATGCTGCGCATATGGGGCCTTTTGGATTTTGATGTGGAGATATTCTTCCCTCACAGCCTTCATGGTCTTCCAGGAGCCTATGATAAGCAAAAAAGTAGAGTCTCCGATCAACCACATATAATGACAACACAGAGGCTACTGGAGGAGGTGACTTTTATTCTGTTTATCTCTTATATGTTGTCTTTTATGTTGTAAATCCTACCTTCGTGTATTTGGAAGTGCTGTTTGTTGAATTTTCAAACTTATTACTACATCTGTTTGAATAACTGGTCTATGGTTTAGTCTAATAATTGTTCCTAATGTCTCTATTGAGGGGTTGCAACCAAATTCGTGTTTATGGATGATTTCTAGCAAATTCCCATTTTGTGATGTTATCTGTTCTTTATCTTATTTTTTGGCTTTTTTTGATTCATTTTAGCTTTCTTCTTGAAACACCACTACGTTTGCAGATTTTAAAAAACCAGAAGGATGCTTTCTGGCCATTTCAACATGATCATAGTGAGAGTTTATTCTTAAGGGCAGCAATAGCTGCAAACTTAATTGATGGATCAAATGGTGTTGAAGAAAGGTATTTCAACAATGTTGTGATGCTATATGTGTTGCTTATTCACAACTAGATTGCTTTTGGCCTACTGATTTCATACTACTACTTTTCTTGCAGTGGCTATCAGCTTGCATCTGCAAAGTTTGCTCAACATAGGTTGGGATGTGGTGTTTGGACCATTGTGCGTTTTGGTGATATGAGACGTGCTTTATCTGGTGTGTATCTAATAGATAATGCTAAATTAGTTGAGTGTTTCTTTTACTGTTGACAACAGATGAATGTCATGGTGCAGTGAAACTGATCATATCAAGTCTACACCAAGTTGAACCTTAAATTAGGATTTTAGGAACTATGGAATTGGTTGATTTTATTTAGATAACCATGTCATGAAAGATGATGCAAATCAAAGACTAATTTACTGAGATTTATTTTTCTGCATTGCTTCTATGTTGGTCTTTCTTTTTCTGGTGATGTAGATTTTTGCACCATTCCTGTCTAACCATTATTATCTTTGTTCCTTCTATCTCTTCTTGTACCTTGCGGCTTGGCCATAAATTTTTCGTCTTCTTTTCTTCTTTCTCCTCTTCCTTTACATTTCCTCTCTTCAATACTTTTGGCTTTAATTTCTCTCTATTTGACATCTTTCTGTTCTATAGTTCACTTCAAGAAATTTTGCTCGTTTGAGATCTTGCTTTTGTTTCTGAAAATCTTAAATTGTGAAACAATTCCATTTTGTTTTCTATAGAATTTGGTTCATTGTTCATCTTTTACTTATTTACGTTGTGGGATTGTTACTCTTTTTACAGCATGTGAACACCTTATACTACTAGAAACTGATCCAAAGGAATTAAGAGATTACAGCATTCTCCTCTATCATTGTGGATTATATGAGCAGTCACTGCAATATCTCAAGTTATATCAAGAAACAAAGGTAAAATTTACAGTAGACATTACATGTCTGACATGCCTCTCATTCTTTTTAATGAACTTGATAGAGTCTAAGAGCTCTAATCTAATATTGCAGAGCTCTTCATTGCAAAAGCAATCACTGGATTCAGTCAGCAGCCTGGAAGAAGATGTTGTGCAGAAATTGATGGTACGCCTCAACCTCATTGCAATGGAGGATGGTTGGAGCAAACCATCACGTGTCAGAAATTTTCTTGGTACCAACTCTGAACCATGGTAAAAACATATACGCTACAAAGTCTGGTACCATTGTAAAGGCAGAGTTGAATTTTGGTTTCTGTGAATTGGAAATTCTAAGAGCAGTAGTTTCTTGAATTCAACTATGCTTCTTGCGGTGTCTGTTGAAACCAAAAAATATTCCCAAAGCTGGGTTAGTTTCAAAATGAGCGTGCAAAGCCTGAGTCAGATGAAGGCAATGCAGGTATAGCACTGCACTTGAAGTTTTTAAACACCAATTCCTTATAATGTACAGCACAAAGGTTAGATTGTCATTCAAGTAAAATATTTTTGTAAATTACTGTATCTGATGTTAAATTAGAAATGTGAAGTTAATTTTCACGGCCTTTATATTCAAGTTCCATGGGCTATTGTTAAAAGAAAATTGCTAGCACTCTTTTGTATGAGCATGGTTTTTAAAAGGATTACAAGGAAAATGATTAACCTTTAATCTATAAAGAATAGAATCATATTTTGAAGGGCAAAAAAAAAAAAAAAAAAAATCTACAAAGAGTTACATTGAAGATAAACAACTAAAAGTTACTTTCATCTTCATCTCTTTCTGTAGAATCTGTACATCATGATTCCAATGCTAAACCTACATACCTCTCACCTTTTTGGGCAGAAAAAGGAATTAATTCGAGTCAAGTTCCACCATTTTTTAAAAAATATTTTTTTGTTAATGCATTTGCACTTAAGCTGGCCTATACCTTTACTGGAACCAAAAAATAATGTCCTTGCAATTGAAAATTGATAGAGGTGAAGAATGGGATGAGAAAGCTATCCTGAATTAGAAACCACGTCCACTGGCTGCCAAAAAAAAACAGTGACCCTCTTTCCTTAAGCCTTCTCCTCTCCGGTTGTGTCATACCGTACACCAATGGAATTATGGACTTTTCAAGTGTCTTCTACAAAAACTCTGAAGATGAAATCCCGAAAGCGTTTGGAGTATTGCTTTGGATCAACAGCAGAGATAGAGGTTGGATCATATTGCATTGATTTGTAGGCATGCTCAAGCTTCTTGCTAATATCATAATCTTGTAGTATGTCTATTATACCAAAGAAGAGGATGACGTCGTATAATTCCCCGGTGCGTTCTCCAACGAGCTGAGTTTCACAATCACTTTTTCTCACTGTTTTTTCAATTCTGGCAGGCATGCTTATACCTAATCTAACGGAAGCAAACCTGGATTATCCCATCAAGACATTATCAGTAAACAAAATTTGCAGAACTACAATGTCCTTTTGATTCACGGAAAATGACTTCCAGAAATATAGGTAACATGACTCAAGAATTTATAGAGATTGGTTGATTGATTTTACCTGGAGGGGTCAAGAAGAAGATGATCCATTTCAACTCTAGAAAGCCGAGGGGCTCCTCCATTTTCAGGATCTCCAATTCCTGTAAGAAGGAAAAAAGGTTGGAAATTTGTTGCTGTTCAGCAATTTTGATAAACCAAATCAACCATTTCTCCATCTATGAGCAGAAATAACCAGTAGGTGTCCGGACTCCAGAAGTTCGAGGTGTAGAATTCCGGTATGGAACTTCCCGGAAGTGGAGACCGACTAGTAGGCTATAGTCCATGATTCTCTCCTGCTCAAGAAAGTCACAATCCTTGTCGACTTGCCTGTAATAAGGGACGGCTATGTCACAAATACAGTATTCCTCAAGGTAGGATTTGAACCACCTAAAAAGGAGGTAATTAGTGAAGATGATCACCTGCAAAACTCTGGGAACCAAATTTTGGATAAACGAAAAATGTAATTCAAATCAAGGTCTTTGAGGGTTGTGGTTGGATCAATTTCAGACTCGGGTTTAGCCGTTGTGCGGCCATGAGAGGAACCTTTCAAATCAAAACGACTGTGAATGGCATAATCAGTGCAGAAGAGATTCCCCATTATAACAAAACGAACCTGATAGTCAAAATCCACAAAATGAATGAAATATGACACTGGTTTCTATTTCTCAAAGTTCATGGAACATTTACAAATTATAATGTTAGTATATTACCTTCTTCTGTGCCGGCCCTGTTAATTTTACACAATGAAGACCATAAAATTTGGTAACAAGGGTGTTCTCAAAGGACTTGACATGATTATAATAAGCAGGGAGCATTCTTATGAGGACCTGTAATGGAAGAAGAAAAGCTTTTCATGCTTTGATGAAGCAATTCAAATGCAGAATGAAGTGAAGAAACAACAAGAACACTCGCCTTAACTTCTGCCTTCTTCACTGTCTTGATCATGTATCGATCATCATTTGTCAAGTAAAAAAAGCTGCCACTTTTTCCAGGGGATGATAGTTCACGAAGAGCATCATTCCCACATATCGAAATCATGTAATCAGCTGCATCTACATTGAACAATTTCCTAAGGGTCCTGAAAATGGAAGAGCAATTCTCCACAGAGCCATTGGAATGAAAATTCAGTAGCAAAAGCTTCTTTTTAAAAGATGAACAGTGTTTATGTTTGAGCTGCTAACCTGAAAACAAGTGGACAGTAATCCTTCCATTTAAAATCACAAGATTGATGGGGAGGAGTGTTTTTGGATCCTTCAGGAGGGAATTTGGTCCATACTTTTTCTTTAGGATCAAAAGCAGAAGGCTTTAGATCAAGGGATATAGCCGGACCTGGCCTTCCAACAGAATGTCTGGGCAACATAACACCATAAATAAAGAGAGATACTATCTGAATGATTAAATGACTCAAAGTAAATACCTGATACCCAATTGTAAATTGAGCATGAGTTCATAATTCTTGTGCCCTTTTGATATGGTCTCCCCCTGCCTCTTGGGTGCTTTAAACCGTGGCCAACACCCTCTCTCGTTTTCTTCTACCTGTAAATTTCCTAAGCTTTCGTCTCCATCCCTCAAATCACCTTCACCGATTGAAGAAACATCGATGGCATCAGACACCCAGCTGTAGTTACTTATCCGGCCAGTATCAGTTGACATCCTCCTACCTCTCCCATTGTCTTTCGTAGCAATCCCATGTTCCATTGCAGGCCAATTTGGCATCTTTTGAGATGGAAAGATGGAAACTTTTTCACCTGGGTAAATCTTGCAGTCCTTCAACTCCGCCGAGAACACCTGCTGAGGATCCCAATCCAAATTTCCGGTGGGAGAAGCACATGGGTAATAAGTCCCATTCATCTCCTTTGGATCTTTGCTCCAAACACCTACATAGAAACTCCCATCTGCCCATCTGAAAGTTCCATTCCCTTTTGGAATACCATCTTCCCAAAACCCATCATACCTATTCCCATTGCTCCAAATCATAGTCCCATTCCCATGGATAGCTCCATTCCTCCATTGGCCAATGTAATGATTCCCATTTTTCCATTGGTACCTTCCATGTCCATCTTGCAATCCCCTGCGCCATTCCCCCTCATAGTAATCCCCATTGCAGTAGCTCTTAGTCCCCTGTCCATGTTTCAAGTTCATAACCCAAGAACCTTTATATGTATCCCCTGCAGAACCCGTATAAGTCCCTTTACCATCCATGTACCCTGTCTTGAATTCACCCTCATAAGTGGCACCAGAGGGCCAGCTAAATATACCCTTCCCCATAATCTTACCTTTGTGCCATTCGCCAACATACATGCACCCATCAGTCCAAAGGTACTTTCCTTGGCCCTGGGGATGGTTATCATACCATTGGCCGGAGTAGAAGTCACCGCTGGGAAGGACTTTCTCCACATGGTCAGGGTAGACTTCGCTGGCACAAGGCTCATCATCATCAACATGGGCTACAGACATTATGGGGAATAAACTGTTTGTAAATTTCTTCACTCCTTCTTGTGATTTCCTTACTGTTGTTTCCCAAGCCTTGGAAATGCCACAATCCTTTCTCATTCTCCACCTAGAAAACTCTCAAAATCTACTAACATTTTTTCACTCCCTTCCATATCTCCTTCGTCCAATACCCAGATCAAAGCTTTTACCTCTCTCTCTCTCTCTCTCTACGAAACCTGTCAAGTTGTATTCTTCAATAAGAGAAAACCCATTTCTGCAACAGACGCAGAAATGGGAGAAAACAACATGAATGGAAACAAAAATAAAATTGCCTTTATCTTTTTACGATCCTATTGTGTGTTTTCAGTTTCCGGGTATACGTCAGATTTTGAGAAAAGAAAAGATGGAGATGGAGATGTTGGATTGATGAGGAAAGCCAAAAAAGAGAAAGGTTTGTACTGGTGTCTGCTTTTTTTTCTTTGTTCTTGGGCAGAATTTTCCTTTGTTTTTGTTTTTCTTCTCTTCTTCTTTTTTTTTTTTTTTTCTTCCTTTCTCTTGTTAACATTTTGCTTTGATTTCGGATGAGGTTCCTAAGATGCCTAGCAGACCAAACAGTTGGAAGGAGAGGAGAAATACTGATGTGATTGCCATTTTTGGTGTCTCCCCTACTCAATTAAACCATCATTTTCTTGATATTGTTACTTGGTCCTTACATTCGTTACTAATACCACTTGCTCTACGATGTTGCAACCGATATGACATTTCAGTCTCCCTCTTTCTTCTTCTTTGAGCTTGCTTTCACAGCCTGATCCGTTAATTCAACATTACTTAAAGGCAAAAATGTGATATAAGGACCCAAACTTAAAATTCACAATTTTAAACCCAAACTTCAATTACGACTCAATGGTTTCAAATTACATAAAATTCTTAAATAAAGTCACAATTGGATGAAATATTCTCTTGATAGATAGAATATTCTCTTACATGCAAATATCTTATATGCCATTTAACAATCCATCACTCCCTCAGTCTGTTGGATTGCTAGTGAAAAAATGTGCTGACTTGTCATTACCACATGGATGCCACATGTGGGTTCTAGTTGATTTGAGGGAAATCAAGTTAAAGAGAATCCATGTGACACCACATGGCAATGACACGTCAGCATGTTTTCCATGTTGGCAATCCAGTTGGCAAAATAGTTAACAGCATTCAAGACATTTAACAGCAAGAGAATATTTCATCCAATTGGGATTTTATTGGAGAATTTCATGTAATTTGAGACCTTAATTGAGCACAATTAAAGTTTAGGTCTAAAATTGAGAATTTTGTACAAGTTTAGAACCTTTTTCCATATTTTTGCCTTACTTTAAATGCTCATATACTGTCCCTGTCTTGACGTTTGTAGTTAGCTTCTCTCTCAAAATTACTATCCTATTACTTGTATTTATTTTATAACTTTGTGAGTAATTTTTACTATAATTTCAAAATTATTCTTATCATTCATAATTCTTAAAATTTATTCTACCTTTTTTTCTTGTTAAATTTGTCACTCATATTTGTTGTCTTGAATATTTTCGTGCATTTCTCTTTCATATTCTTTTTTTTTTTTTTATGTAACCCATAAATTTTAAAAATGGATATATCTAATTCCCTCATCCTATAATGTTTGTCATTTTTTTTTTGAATAGTGTACAATTTGGGGAAAAGAGATTTTTATACCGACTAACAAAGTTAAATGTTTAAAGGTTCGAAGGTGAATTACTAGATTTGAAAACCTAGCTCGTTTGTCATTTGTTTTAGCATGAACATGGATTAAAAATTAGATCAAAGAACGAGTTATGGGATAGAGGGAGTAAACAACAATCACCACGTGTGGGTTAGTTTAGAAACTTGACTAATAGAGTGGGCCAAAATGAAAATATATGACAATTTGAGGGGTGGAAATTTTTTTTTCTTTGTTCTTAGGCAGGTTGGGCATTAAATAATTTGAGGCTTAATCAGATGGTCTGAGTGGTGCAGCCCAGGCCCAGGCCCAGCCCGCTCAGGCTCAGGTAAAGGTTATCTTATTGGTTATATTGGGCAAAAAGGTTACACTTGTCCCTTTTAGAAAAGGAAAAAATTATAACGTCTTGATAACATAAAAATATTATAATATTTAATAATAATAATAATTATTATTATTAAATATAAAAAATATAATATAAATTTTAATTATATTAAATTTATTATATAAATATTATTAAATATTTGATGTTTAATAGTAAATTTTAACATTAAAAATATTAAAATATATAATTATTATTAAATATATAAAATATAATATTAAGTTTAATATTATGAATTATTAATGTGACTATTTGATAATATTATAATTTTTTCTTTTATCATTTTCTTTAAAATAATTAAAACAATAAATAACCTGCTCCAGTCTAATAATATTAACTTTGGGTTAAGGTCGTTCACATTCTGTGAGTGCCTGTTTGAGTTTCACAGAGCTTCTTTTCTTTTTCCCTAATTAATATAAGGTCGTTCACATTCTGTGAGTGCCTGTTTGAGTTTCATAGAGCTTCTTTTCCTTTTCCCTAATTAATATATAAATAATTTCAATATGTTAAGAAAAAGAAAAAGAAAAAACTTAGAACAACAACTATTCAAAATCTAAAATGTTGAGAAGTAGTAGTAGTATCCTTTTTTAAAAATAAAAATCTTGATATTTTGATATTTTGATTTTGATATTT